AAAAAAAAAAAAAAAAAAAAAAAAAAATTCAATCAAATTAAATCCCAAATCAAATAACTAAATGGGTAGAAGCCCCCCTCTCACGTTGCTACAGTAACTTTTTAGTTTTCCACTTTTGCGCTACAAGTTTTCTTATTCTATTTCACAAGTCATGAGTGGTTTTTTCGTCATTTAATTAGGTTTTCACTTTTGCCCCTAAAACTTTGTTTCTCCATTTCACCTGTTATGGGGAGGCATATCCATCATTTCGTGACTCTTTCCATTGCGCCCTCCTATCTTTGTTTCCCCATTTCACATGTTGGGGTGGTTTTTAGGTTATTTCAACACAAAAGTAGATTGATTCAATCTAATTTCCATTTACAGGCTTAATTCCGTTTGCCAAAATCAATTCCTACGGTCATCAATCGTTGAAAAGGAATCCCTTTGCAGGATTTTGAGATTTGAGCAGCTGATTGAATAGCAATGGTTTCATCTTTTAACTTTTATGTGTTTCTAATGATCATTTCCTTATCTACGTTTGATTCGATCTTCGAAAATCTAATCTTCAATTGCCGATCCTTGAAAAGGAAAGTTTGAGCTGGATTTTGAGATTTGAGCACATGAAGGGAAAGATAAAGATTTTGTGGTTGTGGAAATCTTGCACTAACTCCTGCACAAGGATAGTGATAGAGTTCATAGGCTCGAGAGAGGGAGAGCGAAAAGGACAAGGAGAGCTCGAAGAGGTCTGTGCACCTGAGCAAAGTGATATTTAAGTTGTGACGAGATGCTCTGTCTTCGGCGATAAGAATGTGGAGAGGGACGAAGATCTGCCACTAGTTTGAAAGAGGTTGAGAAAGAGAAGGAGAGAATGTAAGACTGTCGGTTGAGACTCAAAGGGAAGAGATTACTACCGGTTATGGGTCTTCTCTGATGATGGGCATGAGTTGAATCTGATTGAGATCCATTGGAAAAGTGGGAAACCCAAACGCATGTGAGAGAGTGCTGGTGGGAAGAATGAGGAGAGGAACTGGTGACCGGCTCTCCACCGATGGTATGGTGAGAGTTTTTTTTTTTTTGTAATTTTTTTAGTCTTTTTATTTATCATTTTCACTTTGGTTCAAGCATGTAGGAGATCGATCATCTTAGTTATTGTTGGATCCGCGTTGGAATTGGTTGGTCGATTGATCTTTTCTTGTTCAATTTAGTATGTCTATCACTGCGTTTTACCTTTTGTTTCTAACTCTAATTGTTTCCCTTTGAATTCTTTTGCACATTGTTTTATTATAGTTCTGCATTTGGGTGTATTCATGTCATTATGTTGGCCGAAATATGTGATTTCTTTGTCTTTGTTCTTTTACTGGAATGTGATATGTTATTTCTTTGTTTTTTTTGTAACTGGAATGTAATATGTTATTTCTTTGTTTTTGTTGTAATATGTTCTGGACGATACCTATAAATGCTAAATTTAGTAAAAAAAAAAAGACTTACACATGTTACTTTTCTGAATGCTCAGATCCACCAGTTAGTAATTACACATACATGATAATAACACAAAAGAATCTGGAACTCGTAGAGATGCTTATTGTATAGTACACTGCTTTGTATTGCTCCAAAGAACTTCGCATGACTTACTGAAAAATAGACAATCCGCTGGTTGTCGTGCATATTACCTTAGTACTAATAATATGACTTTTTGAAGACCATTTATGGTTTCCCAAAGAGCTAGAGATATATCATATCTTATAAATACATATGCCAATATGAAGTCCCTTCATCACTTCACCCATCCCAGCCAGCACATTAATTACTTCTATGGGGGTAACTTGAATGTTCAATAGATATTTATTAGATAACTTTCTTAGTTAAAACTCCATTTTGGTCTCCTCAGTTAAAAAAAAAAAAAAAAAAACTCTTTTTAATCTTTTATTATTTTTTTATAATATATTATATAACAAAAATTCAAAGGTATAGAGGTATTAAAAAAAACTTTAAAAAATCTATTTTTATTTCCTTTACTTTTAAAAAAATCTTTTTTAATCCATCTACTTTAAAATTTTTATTATTTAATATGCTACATCTGTAAAAAAAATAATAAAGAGACTTAAAAAAAACCTAGATAATAAACTTTAAGAATTAAAAAAAAATGTTTTCTTAAATAAAAAATTAAAAAGGAATCTTTCTTAGAAGGACCAAAATGAAGTTTTAATCTTCCTTAATACAATGTTTTACATTAAAAGAAATGGAGGAAGAAAATTAAGGATGAGACGGATTTCCAGGATAACCGAGGTCCACATTCCATAATATTAAGTAATAAAGAAAAAAAAATCATTAGCTAGAAGTAGAAACTTAAAATATATATATATATATATATATATATTCGAGAAAAGGGAGGACCGTTTTAGAAGCACTTCTGGAATATATGGAAACATATTCTTTTGATGAAGATTTGTCGTAGATGTTTTCAGAGAAGCAAACAATCATATGCTTTCCTATACTCTCTAGTTGTATTGAGATCACTTCGGCACTGCCATATCCAACGTCGATTCTTCTCAATAGACAAACTACCATTTTTCACAGATCTAGATGGCAGCTGTACCGCAAAGCTGGAGCTGTCCAATAAAACTTTTCTTCTACTGCTAAATGTGTGATTTAAAACTTGGCTCCCTACTGAAAATCCTACAAATAGTTTCCACCAATTGCCTACCACACATCGGCATTTATAAAGAAAATGGCAATTGGCAAATTAACAATGACATTAACAAACATACTGTAGTTACATCGAGGTCAAATACAAATAGAAGCTAAGAAACTGAGCTCTTCTCCAATGCCATCCTATGAAATTAAGCATACTTGACATGCTGCACTCTTTTCTGACCATGTTTAATGCGCAATTGCCACCCACAGATTGGGAGGCACCTCTCAGATATCCCACATGCCACCAATCTAAGATCAAGGAATGAGAACCATCTACCAAGCTTAACAGATGTAACCCTATCACCATATCTCTATAGTTAAAATTTAGAAGGCCAGATGGTCTCAATAAATTTAGCACTTTGGAAGTTACTCAAGGAGAAGCATGTGACGAAAAACTAAAATATAATACATACCCTAAGAGATATTCTGCACAACTAATTCCTGTATCTTTTGAAATAAGGTAATCAAGAAGCACCTGATGATTATAGTGCAACTGTAGAAAAGAGAGGCAACACCAAGAATTTCAGTAACCACCATTTTCCTTTTTATTTTGTTCTTCTGTTGGGTGGGAATAGGAGAGAGACCCAAGATGAGAATTTTTATGTCTCACCTCTGCAAGGAACAGATGAAATAGGTGCATAGGATTCAAAGTATTTAAAACGTGAAAAAGAGTACCTTCGTTGACTTCCTCAAATTTCCATATTTCTTTGTGGATCCTGCAGATAAAGCAAGAAGTAAGTAAAACTAATTTCTATTTGATTCATCCAACCAAAGCAAGAAAGCAAATAAGATATCTATTTCTTACCGTTTCCCTTCATAAGATGGCAAGGAAAGCAATTGAAGGAGCAATCTGAATAATATATCATCCTAAAAATTAAAAGAAAAATGAGAAATTAGATGCAGCAGCTGAGAGTCTGAGACGGCAAGACATGAATAAGGTGAAAACTAGTTTCACCCTTAGATGAAGAAGAATTTGGAGATGATACAAATACTAGGTCAGAACAAACTATGTTAGTCAAGCAACATAACTACTTAGTTTTTCTATTAAAAGGTTTTAAAAAGGAAAAAAAAAAAAGGAAGAAAGAAAGAAAGAAAGAAAGAAAAAAAACCTTAGATTCCTTCAAAATTTTCCAAAGAGTACAGCAAACCAACCTCATGCACATACAGTTTCAGGAAGGATAAAGAAAACTTTATGTAACTTCATGATTCACAAACGTATCTACCATTGGAAGATTCCCACAAAGCCATGTATATAATTTAAAAAGCCCAAACAAACCTTTCTTTCCATGTATATAATTTATAAAGCTCAAACAAACCTTTCTTTCTACGGTAGCAAGCCCAATCTGGAATTGCTTCAGAACCAAGCATGGACTTGAAGAGCAAGCACAATGCATTTCAGTGTCTTCTTTGAGGTTTATCAAACTGATGGAACACCTCAGGAAAAAGGTGAACAGCCTGTCTCTGTAAATTGCAAAAAGGCATACCATTACTGTCCTCTTCTCCATGAGAAACACTGAAAAAAATGGAGAATCTTCAAGACAATCCTCCATATCCTCAACTTGAGTTATAGATTTGCATAAACGCTCTTGAAAGTAATCGTGGAGGAGCGTCAACTAGGAAAGAAGAACAGGAGAATCCAGACAACTTTGGCAACTAAGCCTAATCATAAACACCTGAAGCATGTTTTCGGTTCAAGAAATCAGCATGCTTTTATATGACCATCAGAACATACTGCAGAAGTAAAATGCTGTGAGAAATATTCTCGTATTCTCATACAAGCAGAAGCTGCCTCATTTAAACCAAAATTTATGCACATATGCTAGCAAAATATGCCACAAGTTGATCAGGCAAACAACTGAGACAAATACATACCAGTATCTTGTGCTTTAAGTACTGAGACAACAACATGCGCATATTGACATTTTTTCCTCTCTTGCCAAGACCCCAATACAAAAGCTTGGGTACAAGGTTGATGATTTTAAAATGAATCACATGCTTGTCTACTGATCTACCTAGACTTTCCATAGACCATGCTTCCTCAGGCAATGAACACAGAAGCTGAATAAATTCCCAGGGAACAAAACTCCCAGCTCCTTTTCACTTCCATTTCCAATGTTGCAGTTCTTACCACCATTATATCATAAAAAATCCCATCCATGAAACCCCAAGGCACGTTAAGAAGACAAGAATGAACAGAATCCAAATAACTTGCAAAAGTTCATCATCACACTCCTGCTTTAAATACTTCAAAATATTCGAATAATTCCAGCCACTGTAAACCAATTGGCATTTTTCAGCCCAGCTTTAAATACAACTAAGTAACTTAACAGCTCACCAGGCACTGGTGAAGGTTCAAAATAGCAATTTGATATATTGGTAACAACCAACTCCGCATAAACACAAAGTTAACGGATAAAAAAATTCCCACCCACTTTCCCGCAAAAACAATCATAGCTGAGAAAACATAGGAAAATTTCTAAAAGATAGAAAATAAATCCCCAAAACAAATTTGTTGGCATACAGATGAGGCAACAAACTCAGAGATGGCTACAAGAATGTTTCCGGCCAAATGTTGAATAGATTGACTCTGGACCTTCAACAGAGTTATCTGCAAGAATACCAAAGACTGGACCTTCCGTCTCGAAGCTGATTAATTAAAAGGAAAAAAAAGAACTAACAACCAAAGAGGAACTTAATAAATGAGAAAGCATGTCTACCTTGTACTCATTTAAATGATAAATAGTCTTTTGCTGTTCAAAAAAAATGAGAAAGCATGTCAAATAAACAGTGACCATCGTCTTCTTGTGGATTCAATGTAGCGTTAGCAATAAACAGCTGAATTTCTTTCGAGAGCTGAAATGGAGATAATTAGGGCTACACAAAGGAGAGATATAAATGCAGGAATTTGAGGGATGAATGGAGAGGGAAGCCTGAGAAAGAGCTAGCAAAAGGTGTTTCTCTTCATCTTTGGTTATGGAGATTTAAATCCATGATACTACTTATAATGAATGAGTTGCGTTAAGTCTCGATTTTATCGATTCTAATAAAAGCATTATGAGCGGATCATGGGTTTAAACTATCAATGAGAAATTAGATATAATTTGAACTAAAATTACTTAGATTTGATTGAATTGAGTTAAAATTAAGTCCGGTAAACTTGAAATAATTCCATTAAAGTTAATTAATTTTTAAAAAATTTAAAATTTTGATTAATTGTATTTTTAATTTTAATTTTTAAATATAAAATAAAATTAAATACTATAAAATTATTATTATTTATTAGATTATTAATGCTAATATTAATTTAAAAGATTTTTTCAACAAAATAATTAATTAATATTAAATTTGTTAAAGAAAAATAAATAAAATATTAAAAAATCTTAATTTTTTAAGAAGTGAAGTCCACTTGACCCAAACCGAAAAATGTGTGGATGAATGATCATGAAATTACTCCTTTAACCCAAAATCCGAAATGATCAAACCAAATAAATCCAAAATTTGAGGTGATCCAATATAAATTTACATAATTTAACTTATTTGTCAGATCTAATTTTTGTTGTCTGCAATGACAATTCATAATGATAAAAAATTGACACGTTAGCACTGACATGATAATGGATAATGGAACTTTAACATATACATGACACTCCCATCCATTTTGGATTTTTCCATATAGGCCGAAAAGACAAGGGGTTAAAACCTTCATAATGTAAATTGAGGGGCTAACTTTTTCATAGTCAGTAAGGTGGAGGGCTAGCCATAGATTTTCACCAATTAATTGTAAAACAGAGAAGTCTACATATTTATTAACTTTTTGTTCTGTTTATCTATTCATGAGAAAACCTATTCTTGGTGGGCTTAAGCCCAATTAATTGTGATCAAGCATGCCCAAGCGCAACATACCCAAGCTCAAGGAGTAATAATCCTAGACGGAAAAAAGTTTTCTCACAAAATTTTGTACAGAAGATACTGAATGATTGACAGTTCTCACAATTAATGGACCACTTGTAGTGGTGGTAGATAGAGGTCGTGAGATATCAGAGGTATGACCCCAGTCGGAGGTCATGAGATGAGGCACGAAGTGAAGTTTGAAGTCACGCACTTCACAGCTGCCCGTGGTGCACAACTTCAGACAGTCAGAGCAGCTCCCAATATCTAGCTACCTTTATCTAATTGAAGGGCGACAAGCTCGGTTGCATGCAAGCTCGGTTGCATGCAAGCTCGGTTGCATGCAAGCTCGGTTGCATGCAAGCTCGGTTGCATGCAAGCTCGGTTGCATGCAAGCTCGGTTGCATGCAAGCTCGGTTGCATGCAAGCTCGTCCCCTCTACTCCTGCTCCACAGTAGTTTCGTACACACACAAGTCCCTCATGAGAAGCACCTGCAATGTTTGACACCTGTTGCCCTGATTTCTCGGAAGGATCAACACGTGGACACCCCCTTGAAGGCCTATAAATACCCCCCCAGGGTCCACCTTAGAGAGGTAATGAAAACTGACCTCAAACCTAGCTTTTACTCTCATTCCATAACTGATAGCTCTGATTATTGCTGACCTAAGCATCGAAGTGTCTACCCCGAAAACCAACCTTGGGGCTTTGCAGGATAGCCGAAGTGAAGACTTGAGATCCGGAGTACCTCCTAGTTCTTTGCAACTACATTGGCGCCATCTGTGGGAACCTGAGCTAAAAGCCTTTGCTAGTGGCTGTTACGATGATCAACACGCGCTCAACGCACCACGGGAGTCCTTAACAAGGGCACGGAAGAGATCAGTTCCTCGGCTACATTAGTTCTTAAGTTCGTTGCAATTTTCACGTCGAGAGTCATTTTAACAATAGCACAATAAATACCATACATTTCCAAAATATTAATTCATTCATCTCAATTGAAATACAAATCGTTCTTTACATAAACTGAAAATTGTAAAAATTACAAAGGAAGAGCTGGTTGAGATCAATCAATGATCTGGAGCTGTTGGTCTACTTCTATATTTCGTATGTTGTCCGCCACCTCCGTTCTCGGTGCCACATCGGCCTCCTCCTCATCCACGGTGACGAACTCGAAGTCCAACGTCAATGGGAGGATAGTTTTCCTAGCCTCGTCCAGTTCCCAAGTCAATTTAACCTCAGGATGGAACTTCGCTGTCTTGCTATCCCTGTTCTCCTCTACCCTTGCCTCCTCAGGTCCAAAGGTGATGCTTGTCACGTCCACCTCTGGATTTTGCACCTTCACCTTCTTATGGCAGTCAACGAAGGCCATTACCAGCGTTGGCAAACGGTAAAGGTCCACCACCTCGGCGAACGTGGCAGACTTAACGAAGTTTGAAACGTGCTCCTCCACAGAGTTGTGGACCGCTAGCTCAGCTGCCTTTTTCACTTCGGCCAGCTCACTATCCCTCCTTGCAAGTGCCTCCTCGCACTTCTTCCTTTTCTGCTCCTCCAGCTCAGCAACCCTCCTGGAATTGGCCAACTCCTCCCTGACCTTCTCCAGCCCCCAGGTCAATTCACCGAAGTTCTTCTTCGTCTCCTCCTTCTGCCGGCCGAGCTCTTCGTTCTTTTTCACCAAGGCAATCCGCTCTTGGAGGCAGTTGAAGAACTCAACCGCCATTGCGTTCACTAAGTTTACGGTCTGTACATAAGACGAAGTCAGTAAAAAAAAAAAAAAAACTAACTAAAAGCTAAGGAGCAAACTTACCTCCAGGGCCTGTGAATTACCCCCGACCCCCCATTGGCAGCCACTTCATCCTTCGCCCTCTGTAGATCCACCTCGGGGAAGTGGGAGCCAATGAAGTGCTTCGTAACCGTCCTCCCAGAGTCATAGAAGCTGGCAACCTGCCTGGGGTAAGGAACGAAGCTCTTCCCCATCCCAATTGCCACAGCTTCTACCTCCCGAAGTGCTGGGTAAATCTGAACGGGAGGAGGTCGAGGTACGAACTCGACCAGGGCCTCAATTTGTAGAGGCTGCACCTCCTCCACCCTTGGCCTTTTCCAGGCAACGACCTCCTCAGTCGCGCCCCTTCTGGGCTCAGAGCTAGGCCCCACCTCAGCTCGAGATCCACCACCTGGGTGAGGCCTTGAAGTCCCACCCCCAACTCACTCCTCTTGGGCACCTGGGGCTGACACCCTTGACCTCTTCTCTGGCAGTCGTACGAGTCTGCCCCTAACTCTCAAACGGTTCATTTCTTCTGCAAAACCAAATGAAGTCAAAAATTGCAATCAGACTCTTAATCTAAAAGGACCTGACTTTAATTAATACAAACCTTGGCTCAACGAGCTCCTTCCATAGATTCCAAACGACTCCACCACCTCTGGACTGGTGAGGTACATTATGTTTGTCAGCTCCCCCCCACCCCTCTCTAACCTCTTCACCTCGTCCTTCTCCACCTCCCCCAGCCGGTACTAGTTCGGATTTCTCCCCTTCCCCTTCCACCTACTGAGCTCTTCTACCTCCCCATCCCCCCTCCTCCACTCCGTGTCATCCACAAAGAAAAACTTTTCCTTCCACCCCTTAACGGAGGAAGGACCTGCAGTGAACAAGTTCCTACTCCTACCTCTAGCTACCCGAGGTGTGAAGTAAAACCACCACTTCTCCTTCCCACTACCCCCCTTGATTATAAAGAAATATTTAAATAAATCTACAATGGGAATTCGCACCCCCCGAAGTTGGCAGTACACTAAAAATCCCACCACCAATCGAACTCCATTGGGAACGAACTGCGTTAACCCCAACCCATATTCCTTCAGCAGCGCTACTAGCAACTTCGGAATTGGGAACCGGAGCCCAGCTACCAGGTAGTGCGCGTATAGTGGCATCCAATGGTCTTTTAGAGCCGAACACGCTCGCTCCTCGCCTCCTGTTAGCCTTACCAGCACATGAGGTAGGATACTATAATTCTCTACTAAGTGCCCTAGCGACCCCTGCACCTCCAGCATGATTCATACCCTACTACCTCCCCCACTACCTCGTCACTCTCGTCATAACACTTCCTTCGGTTGTCACCAACCTCTAAAATGTTGGCTGGGAGAAGGCTACCCTCTTGACCCCCATATCCCCCACTAACAGAGGTCTTACCCCCACTTCCCCCACTCAAACTCGAGCTCGAACTAACGTCCCTCACCCCCTCTCCTCCTCCAACACTTAGCGTTCCTTCAGACGACATCTTTGCTATCACAATCTTCAATACAAGAAGTACGTCACCAACAGTGATCAGAATCACCTACAATCTCTATCTTTTACTTCCCCCCATTCCTACTGATCGCCTAACCCCCCCTACCTAGGCTAATAAAATAAAACAAGATTACTATTGACCGAGGTAGAGCTTAGAGTTACCTGGTTTGCTACGACGAAGTCTAACACTTAGTGAAAATGCTGGCAACTACCACAATCTCTACAACCGTCAGCTTAGAAGATGAAGTGCTTTCTCGCAATTTCGGCAGGACTTCGCTATAAATTCAGCTAGGTAAAATTATGAATAACTCAAGGCTGGCTATTTATACCCAGTCTCTCCCCCGCTTTCACGGCCACGATCGCCCACATTCAACGGCCACGATCGCGTCCTTGTGAATTCGACAGTGATTCCTAACAACATTTATTACAGCACGGCGCGCGAGGACAGTTGTCAACTCAAGTTAAATTATTTTATTATATTCCATTTTATTTCATTACTGTTCACTTCAAGCTCCTTCAAGGGGAATTACACAATTGCTTTTCTTGAACAATGTTAACTCATGATATTTTCTATTTCGACTCTGGCCGTATCCCATGACCACGGGTCATGATATTTTTTACCTCGGCTCCAGCCGTATACCATGACCATGTGTCAGGATATCTTTTACTTTGGTTCCAGCCGTATCCCATGACCACGGGTCATGATATTTTTTACTTCGGCTCTAGCCATATCCCATGACCACAGGTCATGATATTTTTTACTTCGGCTCCAACCGTATCCCATGACCACGTGTCATGATATTTTTTACTTCAGCTCCAGCTGTATTCCATGACCACGGGTCATGATATTTTTTACTTCGGCTCCGGTCGTATCCCATGACCACGTGTCATGATATTTTCTACTTCGGCTCCGACCGTATCCCATGACCATGTGTCATGATACTTTTTGCTTCGGCTCCAGCCATACCCCATGACCATGTGTCATGTTACCTTTCACTTCGCCCCCAGCCACACCCCTTGACTCCATAGCATGTTATCCGCCCCTCAACTCACCACCAACGCAAACTCCCACATCATTCACAAGTGAATGACTTTGTGGGGGGGAATAGTGTAGTGGTGGTAGACAGAGGTCGTGAGATATCAGAGGTATGACCCCAGTCGGAGGTCATGAGATAAGGCACGAAGTGAAGTCTGAAGTCACGCACTTCATAGCTGCCCGTGGTGCACAACTTCGGACAGTTGGAGCAGCTCCCAATATCTAGCTGCCTTTATCTAATTAAAGGGCGACGAGCTCGATTGCATGCAAGCTCGTCCCCTCTGCTCCTGCTCCACAGTAGTTCCGTACACACACAAGTCCTTCATGAGAAGCACCTATGATGTTTGACACCTGTTGCCCTGATTTCTCGGAAGGATCAACATGTGGACACCCCCTTGAAGGCCTATAAATACCCCCCAGGGTCCACCTCAGAGAGGTAATGAAAACCGACCTCAAACCTAGCTTTTACTCTCATTCCATAACTAGTAGCTCTAATTATTGCTGACCTAAGCATCGGAGTGTCTACTCCGAGAACCAACCTCGGGGCTTTACAGGATAGCCGAAGTGAAGACTTGAGATCCGGAGTACCTCTCAGTTCTCTGCAACTACACCACCGTTGGAAATTAACCAATCACTGATGCACCCATAAGTTCTTACAAGTCATACTTAAAGAGCGCGTTTTGGATTTCCACGTGGGGCTGTAAATGCACCGAGTCGAGCTAAAAAAATGAAAAGAGTTTAGCTCCTAAGATAGTCCCGAGGCTAACAAGTTCTCTAATTAACAATTTGGATTCATTCTACGGGTATACATTATTCGCAGGGAGAATGACCGAGGAATTCCGGAAATGGATGAATGGAAACAAAATACTAATTTAGAAACTTATTAAATAGAAGTTAAAGGGTGGTTGGATTTAGATTCTCAACATATTCAAAGATAAGAAGAGATACAAAATTAGGATATTTTGGTATTTAAAATGTTAAGATTATTTTTTAAATTGATTAAATATCTTTAATAAATCTTCATTGCATGCATTAATTCATTAAAAATATTTTAATATTTTCATTATTATTTTTAACATTTTAATTATTACAACATCTTGATTTTTTTTTAATCCTTAGATATATTTCTATCTTATTTTACAATGCATCTCAAAAATATTTATTAAGCATATTTGTCTGCAATTTCCTGGAGGCAAGAGCAGAGCTCCAGCGGTTTGGAAAACATAACCATGTGATCAGAGCCAGCAATAACCTTTACCTCATCTGTTGGGTTTCTTTCAATAATCCACCTTTGAAAGTCTTCTTTTAATGACCTTGTCCTGGTCACAGATGATGTACACCCGATGCACAGATCCATATTTCTCCTTGGTGAGGAATGCTTCATTTGGAAGCGCTGCCTCGTTATTATAGAGAGCAAATGGTCTCAATAACAGTGTTGCAAGCATTAGAGCCTGCTTTAATCCATCATGAACAGAAGAAAAAACATTGATCAGCTCTGCTGCTGTTGTGAGAAATGCAAGAAAAGCTGCATCTATTGTGGCTTCAGCACTGTGAATTGCTAAGGTTTGAGAGAACACTCGCCTCAGGAGGGGATAGATTGTATAACATGGATTGCAAAAAGTTGGGTCCAAAAAATAAAGAGGTCGGAGGATTGTCAGGACCATTGTCAAAGGTATATTCTGTGTCCATAGTTGAATCCAATCTCCTGTTATGCTGTCCAAGCAAAATTGAAACTAAGATTAATGCTCAAATTATTTG